AAAAAAAAAAAAAAAAAAAAAAAAAAAAAAAAAAAAAAAAAAACCTAAAACAAAAGAACAAAAAAACAAATTTATACTGCTTGCTATATAGAGAGTAATAAAGTCCTTTATTTCTGATTCAGAAGTCTTGTATCTTCTTCCAGCATCCATGACACTGTGGCAGGAAAACACGTAGGCTTGCAAGTAGAGTAAAATCTCAGATCCCTCACAGCTCTTGCCAGCTGTTTGGCATTGAGGATAAGATGTTGAAAAAAAAATGGCGTTCTGGAAAAGGAAGGATAAGACATCCCAGAGCAAGTGATCGGATTTGAGAAAAGTCTACCAGAACCAGCAGTAAACATGTTGACTACACTGTAGGCAAAAGAGCAATAAATAATCCTCTACTTTATTGCCTATTACTATGGGTTGAATTGTGTCCCCGCAAAAGATATGCTGAAGTCTTGTCCCCTAATATCTATGAATGTGACTGTATTTGGAAATAAGTCTGCAGATATAACTGAATTAAGCTGAGGTCTGTCCAGGTGCAGTGGCTCACACCTATAATCCCAGCACTTTGGGAGGCCAAGGCAGGAGGATCACCTGAGGTCGGGAGTTTAAGACTAGGCTGACCATCATGGAGAAACCCCATCTCTACTAAAAATACAAAAATTAGCTGGGCATGGTAGGACATGCATGTAATCCCAGCTACTTGGGAGGCTGAGGCAGGAGAAATAAAGAAGGGACAAGGAAAAAGAAACCTGGACACAGAAGAAAGCCATTATGAAGACAGAGAAGAAGGCAATGTGAAGATGAAGGCAGGCACTGGAGTTCTGCTACCATAAGCCAAGAAATGCCTTTTAGCCAAAAGCTAGAAGAGGGATGCTCCACTTAGGGTCTCGGGAGGGATCATGGCACTAAGAATACCTTGATTTCTGAAATTTGCCTTCAGAACTAAGGCTAAATTTCAGAGAAACAACACACTTCTGTCGTTTAAAGCCACTCAGTTTATGGTACTTTGTTACAGTAGTAGCTTTAGGAAACAAAAGTACTTATTAATGAAGAACAATTTGGAAGGTGGTTGCAGGAAGAGTATTGGGCAGCAAGTTCAAGAACAGCTGTTGCAATGCTGCCCTGGTTCTGCAAACTTTTCTGTGGGGGAAACAGAGACTCTTTCAACAATCTGGTACCATGTCTGCCTCATGGTGACACCCATACTAAGATCCATTAGAAATGGGTGGGTGGGCCGGGCGCAGTGGCTCATGCCTGTAATCCTAGCACTTTGGGAGGCTCAGGTGGGTGGATCACCTGAGGTCGGGAGTTCAAGACCAGCTTGGCTATCAGGGTGAAACCCCATCTTATTTAAAAAGAAAAAAAAAAAAAGAAATGGGTGGGTGGGACAGAAGGTTCTGCTTCTTTTCAGACAAGTTACAATAATATGCACCTACACTGAATGTAAAAGAAGGGAAATTTTTGATGGCTATTGGCAGAAGCCAGGTGAATCACAACTTTGGATGGTTCACATGGGAGATGAGGGAAGAACATAATGCTTATTAAGGAAGAAGAATAACAGCTGGGACAGCTTTGGGTTCAGTCCTTCCTACAGTTTATCATGCCCACCTATGATTCATTTGGAGAGGACAGTAAAAGTTTTCCAAGTTTTTTTGCAGTCAGTCTTGGCTTCTATAAAGGCCCTCTTTGAAAGATGTCTTTGAGACAAACTCCTATGGGAAACCATAGATAAGATACTGACTAGACAGAGCCTTCCAGTCCAACTGGGTTTATAATGCTGATGAAGATTCTCACTGGGGAATGAGAAAAGGATCCAAAGTAATATGAATTCTTGTGGTCAGCGCTGCTGAAAAGCTCCCTAACCTTTATGTTAAAATCAAGCAAAAGAATGACAGAGCAGCAGTGTCCAGAATTAAGACGTATTTTTTAACTTTTTGGTGGGGAGGAGAGAGATGAGGTCTCACTATATTGCCCAGACTGGTCTCAAACTCCTGCGCTCAAGTGATCCTCCCACCTGTGCCTCCCAAAGTTCTAGAATCACAGGCGTGAGCCACCATGCCCAACCAACGTGTACTCTTTAGTCATTACTGTCCAAGTCAAACCCGAGTCAAGTCAAAAGACATAAACCTAATAACCGCAAATAGAAAGTAATACGGAGGGGACTGATGAATCAAGGAATCCCCGAAGCTGAAATAGATGGGTGTCAGTAGGGACGACATTGCACTGACTGAGGTGGGCTGAAAACACCGGAAGTTTGTTTAGTCAAGCCACATGCCAGTTTCTGTGATGCTTGAAATCAAAAGTAAATGTGCCTTACCGGCACGAAGTCACTTTTCTCCCTCCACAACTCCTCCTCTTCTACCCTCTCCTTTCCCATCTTCTTTGACTTCAGTGTCTTTAGGAGAAATATAATTAGAAGTGGAGCCAAATTCTCCCTAGCCCCAAGGGGGACTGAAAAGAATATACTCATCCAAGTATCCTGGGGAACACTCAGGAATGGGAGGACTCACACTTCTATGGCTATGTCAGGTTAAAGTGCCAAACTCACCTTACCACTTTTCCATGGGGAGAGGATGAACTTGCATTTAACTGATGGGGATTGGGCATGGTTCACAGCAGGAAAGGGAAGCTATCCTGACCTTGTGGTAGGGCTGATTCTATGTATACTGTTGTTGCTACAACATATGAATGTAGCATAAAAGTGCATTTACACTTCTTCATCCCGTAAGTACCAGAGGGAATCACCCCAACCGGGAAGAAAAGCTAACAGAACAGTGGAGCAAATCTCCCTGACATTTGTCATTAGTGGTGAGGTCAAGATTTAATGCAGTGTCTCTATTTTCTGATGTCTAGTTTAGGTTATAATAATGATATCCTATTGATTGGTAAGTCAGATGTCTCAGTCTCAAAGGCCCTGACTGCAGTGTTACCACGCCTCCATCAGCAGGGGTTGCTGATAAACCCTATCAAATTTCAGAGGCCTACTCGTCAGGTAATGTTTATAAAGATAGATTCACAACACTCAATCCATCAAGCAGTCAAAAAAAAAACAGTTTCTTCTCCTACCCTCTCTCCTCCCAACAAAAATGAAGCCCAGCATCCTATTGGAGTCTTTGGGTGCTAGACAGTATGTGCCTTACTTAGGCATTCTACTATCTCCTTTGTATCAGCTAACCTGCAAGCAAATCAGCAACCTCTTAAGTGGGGCTCCAACCAGCAGGCTGCTCTAGAAGTTAACCATTGAACTGCAGTGTATTCTCTCTATCTTTAGGGCCCCACAACTCTAATGAACGCTTTGAGCTACTAGTCTGAGCCTGATGCTTCTGCAGATTAGAGCTTCTGGCCAAGGGAAGCAGCCTCTACCCAAAGGTTATTCTTTGGGTTTTGGACTTGCTGACCCCCTGACACAGTTCCCAAGGTACACCAAATCTGAGAAAAAAATATTAGCTTGCCGTTGGGCTCTTGCTGAAACTGATCCCTAACCACCCATGCAGACCCTGAGGTTCTCCAGCCTGATATTCCCATTTGGGGGTGAGTCAACTCAGACTTCATGACTAACAAGGTGAGAAATGCCCACCAAGTGTCACTTGTTAAATAGAAATGATATACTTAAGAAAGCAGTGGGCCCCTTGGTCATCATGAAAAAGTAGCAGCTCCCCAACTGTTGCACAAAGCGAAGTCACTAGATTAACGGAGCCCTTAATTCACTGATAGTTTAGCTAAGCTGAAATTTGATGGTGTTTACTGGGCTGCTGCAAGTGCTCAGCCTCAGTACCAAAAATGAAAACCCGAAGCATGGTCACTCTGCTCAGTGGGCGGAAGTCAAGGCTGTCCTCATGACTCTGGTCAACATTCCCCCAAATTATCTTGCTATATTTTTACTGGCACTTACGTTGTTGCCAGTGGTCTAGCTGTTTAGTCTACTACTTGGAAGACTTGGCAGATTAAAGACATCCATGCCTCTGGAGCCACAACTGTGGAAAAAACAGCACATGCTGCTAGAACTATCTGGGTCACTCATTTAGATGTGCATGCTAACGGACTATTCTCTAATGAGATGAACTGGAATCAAGCTGCTAAGCCTGCACTGCCCAGATTGCCACTAATGAAGCCTAGAGCCAACATTACTCTGGATATGGTAATATATCCACCACCATTAGAGACTGGGCACAAATTAGAGGACCCTACGATTATTATGCAGAAGTTTGCCACTGTTACGTCAGACTTGTGACACCTGCTACAACTTGGTCTGCTTGTCTTGTAGTAAAGGACCAGAAAACACAGGGCATTGTTTCTGACTGTTCCCTGCAGACTGACTACACTGGAGCTGTGACCCCACTGCAGGGCTATCAGTGGTGCTTCACCATTGCGACACTTCCTTAGGTTACACTGTTGCTGTTCCAGTCTCATCAGCTAGTTCTGGCCACACCACTGTGGCTCTTGAAACTAATCTATGTCATATGTTCCCCTTTCTAGATCATCTGCAGTCTGATAATGGCTTACCTTTATCATACACACACAAATAAC